GATGGGGGGTGGGGGGGTGGGGGAAGAAAAATATTAATCTTGAAGAGGTTGGCTGGGTTGCCAAGCAACAGAAATGCATGTGATGTCAAACGTGGGATGTCCACCATTGTCGAGTCTCAGCAGCATCAGTACAGGTGCGTCAGCGCGCAGCAGCAGCAGACGTCACCGTTTCCTGACAGTCAATTTATTCTTTTCTTCCCTTTTCCTTCCGCTTCATTTTCTTCACTTACAAAACTTCCTCACATTGCATTTTCTGCAGCTCTCTTTCTTCATCAGGTAGATAACTGCTGACTTTCAGAGTACAGCCCTGACTGTTGCAAGAGGTTGTAAAGGTGGATGGAACAGGTCCTGTTGGTACAGAATAAGATCAGAAAACCAGGACTGAAGATGTTGATGATTGTTAAATACAGATGCTTCTGAGTGAATAGAAATTATATAAACACTTTATTGTTTTTATTATGATATTTGTTAGATTTTTTAACAGTCAAGTTTCATGAAACACACAAAAAAATAACATTGTTGAGAGTTGATTTAAAGCACTTTGTTCAAACTTGTTTTTAAATGTTATAAATAAATAAAACTGACATTTGATTTTATTCCAGACGTCAATTTCCTTGAATCCATACAACTCAATATACCTTTTCACATATCTACAAATAATGAAACCACTTAGACAAATTGCACACAAATAAATAAACCCATAAAATAATACACACCCAATGTGCACACACCTATATGTGTACACATACCCAGTTACATACACTCACATGAAGCACATAAATCCCAATAACATGTCTGAAAAGGGGTAGGAAGAAGTAAAACATATTTAATCCTACCCCTATTCACTGTTTCATCTGGTTTTCAGAATCGTATCAATTTGTTAAGAAAACAAAACAAACAAAAGAAGAAAAGAAAAAAATACACAAATAAAATAATACATAATCCAATATTATTCTAATACTAAATCCCAAGTTATATATTCACATCCAGATACAATCACATCCAACTACACACTAAAATTTATACACACATTCAGATACCCAGCAGCTCTCCATGCACCCACTATCCTACACTCATTGAGGCATTAAGAAAAATGTTAATTGTATTACTTTAGCAAAAAATAGTTTTTCTGACATTTAAGTAATGCCTGAATGRGGATTTGAAGGACCATAAGAAATTCATCCTGGAGTCATTTTGACATGCTGCACTTCAATATTGCTGATATTTACTGCTGTGTAGCAGCACTCATTGGATTTCTTTGAGTGAAACCCCTTGTGATCAATAGATGAGGGTATGTTTCATCCCTGACACTTATGACCTTTTTTTAGTTATTTAGATTTTTTATATATCAGCTGATCCTCAGCTCACTTTTCTGTCTGAAGAAATGGTTTGTTTTAGTTAAGTTAAAATGTGATCATTTTCTGTTTTAAAGCACAATGAAATGTGACCATATGGTATTTCAAGCAATAAATATAGATATTTTTAATGCAGTACCTCATCTAAAAATAAGTCTTCTTTTAGAGCATCATTAAAGCATTTGTTTTTCTGTATATCCCCAAAGTAGCGCCCTTCAAAAACAGATCACCTGTCGAGCTTTGTTGTTGGTAAATCAGTAAAKTGGGTCTAGTCCTCGTGAAACCGAAGGAGAGTAAACATCCTCTTTCCCATTTTTATGACAGAAATATAAAAGGATGTGTAAAAAAATGATAAACAACAAGTTGTTTATCTCCAAGCTAAATCTTCACACCTAAAGTCAGCTCATACCAAAAAACAAATGGGACACTGGGTATCATTTTTTTATTGTCTGAGGTAAAAAAACAACAACAACAACAATTTCAAGCATTTTATGAACAACTATAAACATGCCTTTTAAGAAAGTGGAACAATCTTCATATTTCAGAAACACTATTAGAGTTTTTTAAACCTAAATAAACAATATTCTCTTCAAACCAATATGCTGTTTCCAGTAAAGCGACCCATTTGTTTACTGAACTGTGTTACAGATCCAGAGTGTTTGAAATAATAGAAACCACTCCTTTTACTGTTTCACTAAATCAGGTTTTATAATCACATCCATCACTCCACACATCTGCTGTGYTTCAATCTATAAAGCAGAACTGAATTGAATTAAATTGTGTTTTTTAGATGKCTCTTTTCGTTCCTAAAGTTGTTTACTGTTTACCTGYAAGTCAAGCGTTTGTCCACCCCTGCTGTGGGAGTTGTCTGTGTCTGTGGGTTTAATGGTGGAGCCAAGGAAAGCCACACAGCAACAGCCATCATCTRTAACGTGAAAGGTGTTATTTTCTGAAGAGTGACTTCTTGTGTCCCATGGGTGGTGGTGGTGGTGGGGGGACAAAAAAACTAGAACAAAACAAATTCTCCAAGGTTGACCATGGAGCCCCTTAGAAAAGTGGGCTTCCTCTTATTTATTTTACATTTTGCTTCTGTTTTCAGTCACAAT